AGTATTAGCCATTATTACTGTACTATTATTCCTTCCACCAGATAGAAATTTCTTATTTTGTACTACTGTTTGATGTTATAAAATTCTATTAATATTATTTTGGGAAGACACTCTTTAGTGAAGACACATCAGAAAGGCAAAGTGGTTAAAAAAAAAAAAAAAAAAAGCTTAGCTTACCCAACTTTTAAAATTCATAAAGATCATAAAACTTCTATACAGAGCTGTATTAGTCTGTTCTCAAGCTGCTAATAAAGACATACCTGAGATTGGGTAATTTATAAAGAAAAAGAGGTTTAACGGACTCACAGTTGCACATGGCTGGAGAGGCCTCAAAATCACGGTGGAAGGTGAAGGAGGAGCAAAGGCACATTTACATGGCAGCAGGCAAGATAGTGTGTGCAGGGGAACTGCTCTTTTATAAAACCATCAGATCTCATGAGACTTTTTCACTATCAGGAGAAAAGCCCACCCCCATGATTCAATTACCTCCCCCGCGGTCCCTCCCACGACACGTGTAGGAGCTACAATTCAAGATGAGATTTGGGTGGGGACACAGCAAAACCGTATCAAGGGCAAAGTAGCTAATTATCCAGCCCACACTTTCTAATGATAACAATGATAATAATAATGTCATTATAAAAGTTCACAGTACCTTTCCTGGCTAAAATTCTTTAAAGTAACAGAAACCACTCCGACTTAACCTAAACCCAAAAGAAGAATTTATTATAAGAATATAGTTATGTAATGTGAATCAAAAGAGACTGGAACCAGAAATAGATAGCTGTCCTCTCTCCTTATCACTCATCTGCTTTATGTTTCTCTTGAATGATGGACCTTACTCTGCTTCTCCGTCTATATACCAAATAAACCTACCTCTCAGCTCCAGAATTATAAATAATAGTTTTAGCTGTGATTTGGTCTCAGCGGCTGACCAAGAGAATCTAATTGTCCTAGATTGAAAAAAGGTGTGCACTTGTAGGCTAAAAACTTGAGCCGAGGCTTTTTAGGAGTTCACTGTGTAACATAAACATGACTGCCTGTGAGCCCACCCCCATTAGACGGGCTGGGTGAGGGATGGCATGCTCTCACAAGGGAAATGGTCACCAAATTGGACAGAAATCCCAAAAGTATCAATTACCATGCTTCTTTTCAAAATGATTTCATGCAATAATCTTTTTTCATGAGAGGATTCAGTTCCTATACTATGCCTACTTGGTATCTACTGGTGTCAAGTGTTTGGGGTTTGTTTTAGAGAGGAGGTCTCTCTCTGGCGCCCAATCCAGGCTGCAGTACAGTGGCACAATCGTAGCTAACTGGAGCCTTAGATTCCTGGGCTCAAGCAATCCTCCCACCTCAGCCTCCCTAGTAGCTGGGACTACAGCCACAAGCCACTATACCTGGATTTTTTTTTTTTTTTTTTTTTAGATGGAGTCTGGCTATGTTGCCCAAGCTAGCCTGGAATTCCTGGCCTTGAGCCATCCCCCATCCTCCTATCTCAGCTTCCCAAGGCGCTGGGATTACAGACATGAGCCACTGTGCCTGGCTGTGATAGTTCTTATTAAAAGGCTAAGATGTTTCAAATGCCAACAAATACGTAAGTAATTTCTGCTGACTTTCGTCCTTTCATCACTGGCAATAAAGTACATCCCAGAATATTAAGCTTAGATAATGCTAGTGAAACTTTCATAAAAGAATGCCTTCTGAATACAAAGCCATGCAGAACTTCTTAAAAACCCTAACCAAAAAAGCATAAAAACACCCCAACTAAAGACCACTTTTGTTAATAAATGTAAAGCTCAAATAGTCATACCTCATAATTTAGCCAAGGATAACTGAACTTTTGAAATGTCAGAGTTTTACCATATTGCATTGTTTTCTTTTTTTTTTTATTACTGATCAGATTAGTTTCTCTTCTGCCAGTGAAAAATCCGAAAGAAATCTGAATAATCAACGCAATATTCAGTTCCAAAACCTATTTACGGAAATCTATTAGGGCAATTCATTAATGTCCAGAAATACATTTTTCCCACCATCTATCATTTTCAGAACAAATTCTGAAGATCAAGGTTTCTGGTCAATGAAAAGCAGGTGTCTAGAGAAAATAAGACAGATTTCTAGACCCCGCAAAGTTGAAAGACCGACTGCTTGGCATTCTGAAGATTGGTTATATCAGCCTGCAAACATCCTCTCATTACTTTAATCTCATACTCTATAAAATACTTTTGGATCCTTTGCCAGCAAGATAAAAACAAATTAAACAAAAGGGCCAGTATGCACAAAATATCTTATTCTGGAAGCACCACTGCTGACAGCTTCCGAAAAAATAAAATAAAGTGGAACTTTCAAAAAAACTTTCCAAATAGCAGACAGTATTACCAAGAAAGAGTCAAAAACTAAAAACGGCATAACAGTCAGCAAACACAGGAGTGTGGCTCTCCTCATGGCTCTTACAATTCTTTTCTCACAACATTCTTACAGTTTCTATCACGTTCTGTAAGTATACAGTTATTTGTCCGTTACATTGCAAGCCGAAACTCAGAGTAAGCTTGACCTGTGTGATTTCTAATCAGTAGAAATCACACACACAGAGAGACACACATACACACACATTCTCTCTCTCTTTCTCTTTTGGCCCTAAACCAAAATACTAGGATATAAATGTACCAAAATCACTTAAGTTAAAACAAAATGTTTCTCTATCTATCTCCCCACCCTCCACCAATATACATGTAATTTTTACGAGTTCAATAAGATGGTTTTTTTTGCCTGTGCTTACATTACATAGTTGCAGGGAACATAAGAAATGGCTTATAAAGTAGGAGAACTAATGTAACCAATGCTATGGGAAACAGGGTAAAGAAGGATATAGAGAAGGGACTACTTGAGCTGAGCAGACAGACAGTCCTGGGTAAAGGCACTGAAGATACAAGAACAATGTGGACAAAGGCCCATAGGCCAAGTAGAATGGCTTATTGAAGGAACATCAACAGAACAAGGGGTTCCAACAGAGAACAGCAGCAACAGAGACCAAGGAAATAGGTAAAGTCTGGGTCCTCAAAGGCTTATAATGCAGCACATAGAAGGTAAACTAAGAGAAAATGGAGCAAACAAGACTCTAAGCAGCAAAATATAATAACTGGACAAGCATCTTCAAAGGTCATTGTAGCAGTGGCAGTAGGGTGATTTGGGGGTATGAAGAATGACAGACTTAAAGAAAGTAACTTCCAAAGTCCAAGCAAGAAATGAGAGAGCCTAGGACTAAGTGAGAAGAGACAAAAATGAAAACATGATGAAGGCAGAATCAACAAGACTTACCCACCACGTCCTTAGCTATATGAGTCTAGCGAAGAGAAGGAATACAGAGTAACTGGTGTGTTGCTTTAGTGGCTCTGTAGCTCACAAATTATTTTCCCAGTTAACTTTAAAGAAGAAAAAGCAAGATTGGCAGAAGAAGTCAATTCAGATTATTTTGAGTTTAAGCAGCCTGTAGGACAGAAAACAGAAATGCCAAATCATTAGCTGAATATGCATAACTGGATTTGAGGAGAAATGTCTGATCTGAGTTGGAGACTGGTGACCTAATCCTTTATATTTGAAGCCGTGGGAGTGGATGTTATTAATGAGAAAGACCAGGGAAGGGCAACCAAAAAAAAGTCAAGGGCAGAACCCAGAATCACACCCACTTTTCAGAAACAGACAGGAGAACAACAAGAGGATACTAACAAAGAAAGGTCTGCAAGATGGAAGCAAGTTTAGGCCAGTGGGACTTCAGAAACTGCAAGGTCAGAAGGATTTGTGAACCCAAAATTATCTGAGACAGGTCTCAATTTAGAAAGAGTATTTTCCCAAGCTTAGGAATGCGTCCCTGACATAGCCTCAGGTAGTCCTGATGACATGTGCCCAAAGTAGTCGGGATACAACTTACTCTCACACATTTTAGGGAGGCATAACACATCAATCAATACACGTAAGATCCGTTGGATCTGGAAAGGCAGACAACTAGAAGTGTGTGAGAAGTGGCTTCCAGGTCGTAGGTAGATTTAAAGATTTTCTGATTGGCAATTGGTTATTATCTAAAGACCTAGAAACAATAGAAACAAATGTCTGGGTTGCAATAAGAGGTTGTGGATACCAAATATGATCGTGGAGATGAAGCCTCTAAGTGGCAAATTTCAGAGAGAATAGATTGTAAATGTTTCTTACCAGACTTAAGGTCTGTGTTGATGTTGATGCTGGCTGGCTTTTCCTGAATTCCAAAAGGAAGAAGGGCATAATGAGGCATGTTGGACCCCCGTTCCCATCATGGCCTGAACCAGTTTCTCAGGTTAACCTTGGCAGAGAGGAGGGGTCCATTCAGATGATTTGGAGGATTGGAATTTTATTTTTGGTTTACAGTTTCAAGGAGAAGCAGGACAATCATGTCAGAGAGCTTCAGTGAGGCTGAAAATGCTCCACCAGATTCAGCAGTCTTTAAGCTATCAGAATCCTTTGGCAGGGTAGGGGCTTGGAGGGGTGAGGGTAGAGGGATGGAGAGGAGAGAAAAGGACAGGCAAAGGGGCACAGATATCTCCATCAGGGAGTGAGCATGCCCCACACAAATTCCTTAAGGCAACCTGTGAGGCTATCGCCTTGGCACAAACCCTATCACATGTCAGTCAACTTCCCGGCAAGTCGCAGATCTTTAGAAACCTTGGTGTGTATTTCCCTGCTCGGCTTAGGACGCACCCCTGCCTCCACTCCACAAACGTCCATTGAGTCCTCAAAAACCCGGACAAATGACCTCACCTCCAAAGCCCCCTCTCTGATGCTCCCAGGAAAAACGAAAGCACCTCAGTTTGTTTTGTCCGTACCTTACACGGCTTTGTAATTATCTGTGGTGCCTCTGGCTCAAATCAAAGCGGGAGCCAGACCCAAAAAGTCAAGGAAGGGAAGCGCCTTCACAGGCCTCGCGTGAGGAGAAAAGAACTACAATTCCCATGAGGCGGTGGGGCCAAGGGACCACAAGTCCCAGCATCCACTGCGCGGCCCAGGCCTGTCAGGGTAGTAGGCGCTGCGTGAGGCGGGTAAATGTTCGCGGAAGCGGCGAAGACGACAGGGCCTTGTGGGATGGCGGAGTTTAAGGAGAAGCCTGAGGCCCCGACTGAGCAGCTGGATGTCGCGTGCGGCCAGGAAAACTTGCCGGTGGGCGCGTGGCCCCCGGGGGCCGCGCCGGCGCCCTTCCAGGTAGGGGCGGGGCCAGGCGGCGCGGGAGGCAGACGCGCGGCTCCCCCACGTGGTCTCCTTCTCAAGCAGCCTCGCCGGGACGGCCTCCCAATCGCGACCTTTTGTCTTCTCTCATAGCACACCAGTGGTGCGCGGGAATAGGTGTGCACGCCCCGGCCTGGGCCTTTTTCTGTTAACCCACGGCGTCACCTTAGCAAGGGTGCTGTCCTTTTCAGTCCATTCCCTGAAGCGCAGAACCAGAGGCCTTATGAGAACCCGGCTTTTTGTCCCAGTCCTGTCCTCAGAACTCAAGGAGGCATCAAGGGGGGAGTCATTTACCTCTCCGGTCTCAGGTGTCTCTCACAGGTAGGATAAGCCGTGGGGCCTGTTAGTGGATAGCACCCGGTGTCGTGCATAAAAACAGCCCCGCGAGTCAGCCTTAGCTGTGGTCTCCCTCATGCTGTGGGCTCTTGGGCAAGTATAAATTAGCTTTGGCTAAGCCTTAGAGTCTTCCAGTTCTAACAGTACCTCTCTTCCGGATTGCTTTGAAAATTGCAAGGAAAATACACTTTCTAGTTTGCTCTAAGAACTCAGTAAATGTTCGCTGCTATTAACTTCTCAAAGCCCTTTCTACTCTTTTTTTTTTTTTTTTTTTGGAAACTGAATTTCGCTCTTGTTGTCCAGGCTGGAGTGCAATGGCATTATCTCTTATCTCGGCTCACCGCAACCTCCACCTCCTCAAGCAATTCTCCTGCCTCAGCCTCCCGAGTAGCTGGGATTACAGGCATGTGCCACCACACCCGGCTAATTTTTTTCTTTTTAGTAGAGACAGGGTTTCTCCATGTTGGTCAGGCCGGTCTCAAACTCCCAACCTCAGGTGATCCTCATGGTTCAGAGCTTAGCCATCTTAGCTACTTCCCAGAGCCTGAGTTTATTCATCTGCAAAATGAAAATAATAATTTAAAAATACATAGCCATCCATTATCAACAATGAACCCTATCTGCCCTTTCTTTTTCCTAGGAATCTTGTGAGGATCAGTTAAGATAATAGATTCAATAGCAGCTTTCAAAGATGTCAAGGAAAAGAATCAAACTCTGTAAAATATTTGAAGAGATTTATTCTGAGCCAAATACGAGTGACCATGACCTGTGACACAGCCCTCAGGAGATGCTGAGAACATGTGTCCCGGGTGATTAGGGCACAGCCTGGTTTTATACTCGTTTGGGAGAGAGGAGACGTCAATCAAATACATTTAACATGTACATTGGTTTGGTTCAGAAAGGCAGGGCAACTCAAAGTGGTAGAGGGGCTTCCAGACTGTAAGTAGATTTAAAATTTTTCTGGTTAACAATTGGTAGAGTTTATCTGAAGACCTGGGATCAATAGAAATGTTTAGGTTAAGATAAAGGGGTTTCTTTTGAGACAGAGCTCGACTCCATCACCCAGGCTAGAGTGGGTGGTGCGATCAGCTCACTGCAACCTCCGCCTCCCAGGTTCAAGCGATTCTCCCGCCTCAGCCTCCCAAGTAGCTGGGATTACAGGCACCCACAGCCACGCCCAGCTAATTTTTGTATTTTTAGTAGAAACAGGGTTTTACCATGTTGCCCAGGCTGGTCTCAAACTCCTGACCTCAAGTGATCCGCCCACCTCGGCCTCCCAAAGTGCTGGGATTACAGAAGTGAGCCACCACACCAGGCCAAGTAGAGACCAAGTTTTATTGTGCGGAGGAAACTCTCAGCCGACTTCAGAGGGAGCAGTTTGGAAAATGTTTCTTACCGAACTTAAAAAGGTGCCTCGCTCTTAGTTGATTATCTCCTGGTTGTAGAAAGAAAGAAAAAGAGGGGGAAAGGGGATTCTCTATAGAATGTGGATTTTTCCCACAAGAGACAACCCTCCAGGGCAATGTCAAGATATAGCAAGGAAATATATTTGGGGTTCAAATATTTTGATTTCTTCCCTTATTTGTTATGTGATGTTATGCCAGAGTCAGGTTAGAAAGCAGACCATGCTATATAGGGTTAAAATTAAAACTCTTCTGATGAGATTTTATGGTTTGTGAGGCATGACTCCTCAGGTGCCTTAGGTAGGAATTTGGGCAAGATAAAAAAAATCAGAGTTTAGTCCTCAAAAGAGTAGAATAAGATTAATGTCAGAAATTATTATTGTTCCCCAGACTACCTTTGGCAATTTATGTTAATAATACAGTTGGCTGGCTCAATATTAAACAGTGGTCCCTGAAAACTTACTCAGCACTAAGCATTGCTGAGTTCCTGGTCAAAAACACTGATTAAAAAAACCACTGTTCTAGTCCATTCTTAATTCAACAAATTGAGAGCTTTAGCTTGCAAGGTGGTGGGTTGGGCTGCAAAGAATACAATAAACAGAAAAACACATTCTACCCTCAATGTTTACAACTGTTATGATTAGCTTCAATATTCCTGCTGTGCCTGTGTATGTGTATAAATATGTGTGTGTGTGTGTGTGTGTTTGAGGCTATTCTATTTACAATCTTGGGTCATATTTTTCTTTGCCATATCCAAGAACAATCTGTAAAACTGCCCGACATATTTTTTAATTAACTCACTTTAAGCATTATTTAAAAATAAGTAATATAAGTATCTCCCTTAGAATCACTGTAATCATTAATGTCCATAAAATCTTGAGGTTTTATATTTCGCAGAGTATATTAAACACATCTATTTTTAAAAGGGGAGAAAGGAGTGACAAGAGGAAGCTTTATGATTGATTGTTATGTCTACAGTTGGTAGGCATAAATGAAAACTGGGAGATTAAAACCCAGTCCCACAGTGTTCTATCTCTGTACGTGCACAGTTCTCAATAGAGTTAGAGTTACAAAAATAAGACAGGATCCCCTCCTAAGAGACCTTATTGTCTTTCTTACCAAGAAGATCAAACATGCTTAAAACATTTAAGTGACAAGCCTAAAAGTGCATTCAACTCGTTTTCTTCCATATATTCATGGAACACAAAACCACTCTTATAAAAGGTCAAAACAGCTTGCTTGCTCCAAACCCTGCCTTCACAGGCGTATGCACACATAAGAATTAAGGCATGAAAAACTTTCAAGATAAAAATAACTTTGTGTCTGTTTTGCCTTTGGCTACTGTGTGAAAAGGCAAAAAGAAATTCAAATGTTCATATTGGAAACAAGCATATCATAATGTCATCAGTGTTGAAAGCCAAGTAGAGAATAAACTAATTGATTTTCTTGAGCTAACAGTTGGATCTAACCATTTTTCAGGTCTCTGAAACCAGCTTCAAACATTATTTTTAAGATCTCAGCAGGCCTTGACAAGAATTATCTGGCTCACAGTCTTCTAATAGCTGCTTGGAGGAAAAACAAACTTATGAGGCTAGAGGCCAAGTACAAAGATTCTTGTAGCTGGGGTTTCAACACAACCAAAAAAGGAATGAAGATTTTCACAGCACTTCTTTATAATTCAGAGGCCCAGGTTTTAGGCCTAGAATATTATAGTGTCATACTTCAGTTTCTGGGTCTTCAGTACAGAATGTGATTCAGAAAAGTCAAACTTCTCGTTAATAAGTATCAAGAAAAAAAAAAAGTATCAAGAGCTGCAATCTGGCAATCGAAAAATGCTTCTTGAGCACCTGCTGTGTGCCTCGTCCTATGGATAGGAACCCCACCCCCATCAGCATGCCACACTCCAAACCTCATAACCATGCTTTTCCCTGAGACACATATCTGTTAGAAAGGTAAGACCTACACATTTAACACAATTAAAGAGCCCTACAGTCTGTGTCATTTAGACCCTGAAGTTCATGCTATTAACTAAGTATATTTCAGAGAAGAAAGAAATTATTGCAGACAGGAATAGCCAAGACAAGAGTGTATTTTCTCTTAAGTTTTCTGTCAGAAAACTTGAAATCTTCACCCAGTGCTTGTTTCCAATATGTCATTTTGCCCTGATCATTTTGCATTTATTCCCAGCTCTTGCATGAGTAATTCTGTGCTTTGATACATACGAAGAAAAAGTAAAACGTGCCGGGCGCGGTGGCTCAAGCCTGTAATCCCAGCACTTTGGGAGGCCGAGACGGGCGGATCACGAGGTCAGGAGATCGAGACCATCCTGGCTAACACAGTGAAACCCCGTCTCTACTAAAAAAAATACAAAATGCTAGCCGGGCAAGGTGGTGGACGCCTGTAGTCCCAGCTACTTGGGAGGCTGAGGCAGGAGAATGGCGTAAACCCGGGAGGCGGAGCTTGCAGTGAGCTGAGATCCGGCCACTGCACTCCAGCCTGGGTGACAGCGAGACTACGTCTCAACAACAACAACAACAACAACAACAAAAAAAACAATGCAGGAAATTTTTAAAATCCCAGCCAGGCATGGTGGCTCCCTCCCATAATTCCAACCCTTTTGGAGGCCAAGGCGGGAGAATCACTTGAAGTCAGGAGTTTAAGACCACCCTGGGCAACAAAGTGAGACCCCATCTCTACAAAAGCATTGTATTTTAAATTAACCAGACATGGTGGTGCATGCCTGTAGTCCCACCTACTTGGGAGGCTGACCTTGAGCCCAGCAGTTGGAGGCTGCAGTGAGCTATGATTATGCCACTGCACTCCAGCCTGGGCAGCAGTATCTTCAAAAAAAAAAAAAAAATCCCATTCTCCATGTCCTTTATACTTTTCTGACTGTTTCTAAATCCCTGTATGTGCATATTGCAGACAGTAAGGTAATACTTGATAAATGAAAGAAGTCTGGTCTGGGTCAGCTCTTAGCTTTTCCCCACTCAAATGGAGAAGTAATGGAGGAAAGGTATACAGTCCGATGACTTCCTAGACACAGTTTTGGTTTGAATATGTTTGAACCTGGAATGTTTAACTCCAGAACTTATTTTCTTCACTACCCTACTATAGACTACCTGCAAAATTTTTATCGAACACATATGTGCTAATCCCTAGAGTAAGCTTTTTAGGCCAGTTCTGTCAGTTTTTCTTTCACAGAAACCTGTGAAATAAATAAGATATTTAGTAATGTTAAGTAATTTGCCAGAAACATATGTTGTTTTAAGTATCACATCTAAAAGTAATATCTAGAAGAACTGAAAGAAGCCAATATTTTTATAAAGTGTCTGACATGGAGTCCAGCATTATTTCATTAAAATTTCATGATAGCACCCCAAATGTGGGTATTATCCTTGTCTTATAGCAACTAATCTGAAGCTTAACAAGTCACTTGTCCAGAATCACAGTGCCAATAAGAGCTTGGCTGTAGTTTGTGTCTCCTTTAGAGCATTCCATGTTCTACACTAGGAAGCTCTCCGCTGCTTCCTCACAGTTCAAGACCATAGTCACAGAGTTTTCCTGCGTGGTCTCCTGCATACTTTGCTCTAGTCTAACCTCCTAATTGAAGACATCTTTGTTCATTGACCATTTACACCTTTGACTTGTCTATGAAAAGAGTCAAACTCTGCAAACTATTTGAATAGATTTATTCTGAGCCAAATATGAGTGACCATGGACCATGACACAGCCCTCAGGAGATCCTGAGAACATGCACCCAAGGTGGTTGGGATATGGCTTAGTTTTATACATTTTAGGGAGACATGAGACAACAGTCAAATACATGTAAGATGTACATTGGTTCTGTCCAGAAAGACAGCACAGCTGGAAGCGGAAGCTTCCAGTTTCTGATTAACAGTTTGCTTGAAGGAATTGTTATTATCTAAAAACTTAGGAATGTCTTGGGGAAGATAAAGGGTTGTGGAGACCAAGGTTTATTATCATGCAGGTGAAGCCTCCAGGTAGCAGGCTTCAGAGAGAATAGATTGTAAATGTTTTTTATCAGACTTAAAGAGTCTGTTCTATCAGTAATTCCAAAAGGGAAGAGGGTATAATGAGGCATGTCTGACCCCCGCCCCCTTCCCATCATGACCTGAACCAGTTTTTCAGGTTAGCTTTGGAATGCTCTTGCTGAGAGGAGGGGTCTGTTCAGATGATCAGGAGACTTAGAATTTTATTTTTGGTTAACAGAGTACATTTTCTAACCATTTCCTGAAACCATCCTCAGCTTCTACCCAGGGTGTATCAGTCAGGACTCATTTGTTTGCAAGAAACATAAACAATACAAACTGGCTCCAACAAAAAAGGGAAGGAATTGCCTCAAATCAGAAAAGTCCAAAAGTGGTAACTATAGGCATGTCTGGACCCAATAATTCTAAAAGTATTGTCAGATACTTCTTCCCACCACCCTCCCCCTTCACACCCCTGCTCCCCATTTCTGTGGTAGGCTACCCACTCAGTAGGCCTCATCTATGTGGCAGAACTTGGAAATGCCAGGCAAACACTACAGTTGAACAATTCTAGTGGAAAGAGAATGCCTCTTCCCTAATTGTTTCAGCAGAAGTCTGGCTTAGGTCATATCAGCTGACTCCCAGTTTGTAACTTACTTTACATTAGCTTTCAGATACAGTTATATTCCAGAAACAACTATTATTTAACTATGGGGAAACAGTCTCAGAAATGCATCATTAGACAATTTCATCATTATGCAAATGTTATAGAGTGCACAGTACTTACACAAACCTAGATGGTATAGCCTACTACACACTTAGGCTGTATGATAATACCCTATCACTCCTAGGCTACAAACCTGCACAGAATGTTACTACACTGAGTACTGTAGATACTTGTAATGCAGTGGTGTTTGTGTATCTAAACATAGAAAACATACAGTAAAAATACTGTATTCTAATCTTACAGGACTACCATTGTATATAGATATATGTAGTCTGACTGAAAAGTCATTACGCAGCACATGACTACTCAAAGTTTAACCATATGGCATGTAAATATTTGAATAGAATGTTAGGACAATGACCTAACATTATTTCTGAAAATAATAAATAGCTTTTCAATATGTAAATACCTTTAAAGATGGGTAATTACATAATCAGATATTAAATTAGACTAAGGTTTTCAAAAGATTATTCTTGAGTATAGTCATTTTTTAAGTCATTATCATCTGAAATGATATTTTATTGACCTTTTATGGAGGAGAAAATGGAAACATGAAGATAAAATGACTCAAAGCAATTATTGGTATCAGGATCAGTGATTATATCCATCAAGGGGAAAAAATTTGTTTAAACAGGAATTTTCCCAGAAGTCTCTGTTACCTTTTGGAAGGTATCTGCAGTTCATTTGGAATTAGCTACCATCTATAAGTCCCTAGAGGATTATAGATTGTGCAGCAAGTTTAATTGCAGAATTTTAAAAAATATATCATGAGATTCTACAAAATCTTTTTAAATTTGTAAGTAAAAATAACTAAATAAAACTGTTTTTCACCTGCTTTCCTGATTAGAAAACTGCAGTAAGTCAGACTTGATTTTAAAAGAAGTTATCCATGTCAAAAAAAAAACTTTAGCGTTTAGTGATTTATATATACCTTAAAACTATGTGCGCCTTTAATGACAAATCAAGTTTAACATGAAAAGTTTAACAGAGATCTTCATTTTACAAGTACTTTTTAAAATGTCTGAGTAACCATTTACATTTCAACACTGAACCTTTAAAAAGCTGAAGGTAGATTCTATATAAAACAGCAGTCATTGAGTTTGACTGATAGAGCATCATTTTCTAACCCATCCTTTATCCATTTAGGATATTCCTGCTAAGCTAAAGCTGTAAGAAACAACACAAACAAAAGCTATTTCCTCTCTCCACCCCCAAATGACTTTTTAAGCAGAATGTTGGCCTTCCCCCACAATTCCTCCCACTGGTTGTCCTCCTCATCTTTCACAAGAGGATGTCAATCCTCCCCAGCTCAGAGTTTTTTTTAGCATAGGGTTTTGCACTTAACTACATAGCTCCACCTGAGGCCTCCACAAGGAGTATAACTACCTGCTGTTCAATACCTTTCTAAAGCTTGGACTGGAGACAAAATATTAATGGAGGATTGACTGGAAGACATGGTGCAAACGTTCCTCCAGGTGCTTTAAAATCTATCCCCAATGAAAGGCCATGCAACTCCTTCCTTGCAGAACTGCTCTTACCCAACTCTGCTGTTGTGGGATCCCAGCAGCCTTTATTGAGGACCAGAATTTTAAAAGCCCATGAAACTGCTTCCTGGAAAAGAATGGTTTAGAAGAACACATTGGTGGAATTCCTTCCTGGTATCAATACTGAAAAAAGTCAGTGCCGCTTCTGAACAATGAGATTATTCCTTACAGGCAGGGCAAACTGCGTATCTAATCATATATCCTTCTCTGAATTGGCAGCTCTCAGGCAGAGCCAAATGTCCAGTCTACTTCTACCACACACTGTGTGTCTAAGCTCACTGGACCTGTTTGCTCTATTTCCCTTTCACCTTACTGTCCTTACTTGTTCATTTATCTTACCTGTTTGTGAGTCTCATTAAATCCTTTTTGGAATAAAGCAGGTATAAAATGAATTCGGTTTTATGTAAGCAAGAATTACTGTATACATAAAAAAAATCTGGGTTCATGAGAGATACTTTAATATGAAATCACAGTTTGAAAATATGCTTCACGATGCTAATGAGGATCTAACCAGAGATCAGGCTTCACATAGAGTTTAGATTGAGGATTGTCTTCTTTTTATATAACATTTTATAAATGTAATGTTTTTATATTTTATATATTTTATATAAATGTAATTTTTTATGTTCCTTTCCCATTTAATTAGAACAGAATTTCTTTACAAGTGTACATCTATAATAAATTTAAATATCTAGTAATATCTATTTAAGAAATAGCATTTTTGGAATTCTGTGTGCAATTGACTTGTCATTTATGACTTTCTCATCCCCAACTAGTATCTGAGGTAACTCACAATTAAAATACATATATGCATGTATATAAGGTAAAGGTAAAAGAGATCAAAAGCTAAGGATAAAATGCTTAACTGTACTCAGACACTAAATTCAGCACTGAGTTTTCTGACATCCAAAGCTAAGAGTGAAACAAAATAAGTTACAAAACTTTCCGTTTCTGATCAGAGAAAAAAATACTGTTTTTCTTATTGTCCTTATACATACATAATACATATATAAATACATGTATATGTCATTATGCATACCTATATATAACATACTATTATATACATTAAGTATTATAATGCCCAACTCATCCTTATACATAACCTAAAATAAAACCACAAATTCTAAAAATTAATCTTAGCTGGGCATGGTTGTTCCCACTTGTAGCTGTAGCAAGTAAGGAACCTGAGGCAGGAGAATCACTTGAGCCCAGGTTACAGTGAACTGTGATCACACCACTGCACTCCAGCCTGTGCAACAGAGCAAGACCCTGTCTCAAAAAAAAAAAAAAAAAAAAAAATTCTTGTTTTATTGAAGAAAGATCTTTTTGGACAATATCTTAGTACACTGTGTTTTGTCAGTTTTGAACTGTTTTTATATATGTTAGAATTAGAATGGGTCCCAGTCAAAAACTACTTGGAATATGTAGGAAATATATGACATGCCATGCTCACTTACAGTGTGTATATTTTTTACAGTACACTCCTGATCATGTAGTTGGACCTGGAGCAGACATTGATCCCACTCAAATAACCTTTCCCGGATGCATTTGTGTCAAAACTCCCTGCCTCCCTGGCACTTGCTCCTGTCTCCGCCATGGAGAGAACTATGATGATAACTCATGCCTTAGAGATATAGGATCTGGAGGAAAGTATGCAGAGCCTGTTTTTGAATGCAATGTCTTGTGCCGATGCAGTGACCACTGCAGAAACAGAGTGGTCCAGAAAGGTCTGCAGTTCCACTTTCAAGTGTTCAAGACGCATAAAAAAGGCTGGGGACTTCGTACCTTGGAATTTATACCAAAAGGAAGGTTTGTCTGTGAATATGCTGGTGAGGTTTTAGGATTCTCTGAAGTTCAGAGAAGAATTCACTTACAAACAAAATCTGACTCTAACTACATTATAGCCATCAGGGAACATGTTTATACTGGGCAGGTAATGGAAACATTTGTTGACCCTACTTATATAGGAAATATTGGAAGATTCCTTAATCATTCTTGTGAGCCAAACCTTTTGATGATTCCTGTCCGAATTGACTCAATGGTACCTAAGTTGGCACTTTTTGCAGCCAAAGATATTGTGCCAGAAGAAGAACTCTCTTATGATTATTCAGGAAGATATCTTAATCTAACAGGCAGTGAAGACAAAGAAAGGCTAGATAATGGGAAACTAAGAAAACCTTGTTACTGTGGTGCCAAATCATGTACTGCTTTCCTGCCTTTTGACGGTTCTCTGTACTGCCCCTTAGAAAAGTCGAGCATCAGTTGTGGAAATGAGAAGGAACCCAGCATGTGTGGCTCAGCCCCTTCTGTGTTCCCCTCCTGCAAGCGATTGACCCTTGAGGTGAGTCTGTTCAGTGATAAGCAGCTTGCGCCTCCCTCTAGTGGAAGACAGTGGTTGGCTAGCTTTGCCTCTGCCTAGTTATGTAAGTTGAACTCAGGAATGTGGCAGAGACTACAAGTTGTCCATCAGTATCTTTTCTCCCTTTCTGTAATAGAATTCTCCATTTAACATGAGTACATGACTACCCAGAATTTCACTTTCCTAGTTAGATTTGTCTTAGTAACTGTTTTAGTTAATGGGATATAAGCAAAAATGACAAGTCCTTAAATGGAGATATCCTGCCCTTCACCTCCTCTTTCTTCCTTCTGGCTGGAATGTATACATGATGACTGGAACTGGAGCAGTCATCCTAGACCCCAGGATGACCCTGGGAAAGGAAGCCATTGCATAGAAAAATCAACAAGATTAAAAGGAGTCTAGGTGTCTGGTACTGTAGAACATCCTGCCAGTCATGGTCTGACACCATTGTACTTTGAGGTGAGAAATGGTGTCTCCCTTGTTTAAGCCACTGTTATTGTAAGTTTTCTAGCACTAACATCGAACCTAATAATAATCCAAGAAACCCTTGTGGCTGCATACCTAAACCCTGCTTTCCAACCAATTTTAACAGTAATAAAGCTGACATTTTGATTTCTGTCTGACTCCTGTATCCTACTTAATTGTTTCTAAGCATGAATCAAGGAAAAACGCATTATTAACCATCACCTGCTAAAACCCTAATAAGTACCACCAGTAGTGAAAAATATAACCATGAAAATGACTTACATGTTGTAACCAAAAGTCAGAAAAGGAAACACATTGTAAATGTTTCATTATATACTTGGCTGTACTCCAAATCTTGTGAAGTTATGCTTCAAAACTTCAAACAGCCTCACTTCTTGTATAAATAACAGAAAAATAACGCTGTCCACACCACAGAAGGAGATGGGAGTTTTATAATCCCATTTAAACTTCTAGAGCATCAAACATCTCTAACTACCTTCCTTAAAGCAGGGATGTTGCCAAAAAAATTACTATGTAAGTTTATCAGACATTTTGAAAGCTAAAATAATTGCTAGAGCCCCTATGATATTAAGTAATTTAATTTCTTCTCTAATACATTTAAACCCTACCACTAGGAGGCCTTGCAGTTTCAACATTATAGGAATCCGTGTTATATATAACACTATTCCTCTGTAATATAAGTACATTGTACACTTTAAATGAGTGAAATGTATAGCATGTGAATTATATCTCAATAAAGCTGGCTTGTTTTTAAGTATCTTAGGGTTTACATGTTCATATAACGTTATATGGAATGGTTCTCTGTGAACAAATGGTCCTAGAATACACATAAAATGCCCCAAATTACAAATACATAGTATCAAAAATTTTCCTCCAAATTAATCATTTCTCCATGCCAACTTTCCTCTGTTAGTTCAATGTCTCTGAAGCAGTCCTGCTTTTTATAAGGCAGTTTGTATCCCTCACTCGAAAATGTGCTTTTTCTCACTCACAAGCTCACCTAATAACTGAGCTGCTTCAGAAGCAATACAGAAATGGTCAGAAGGAAAATGATTGGCTCACCATTTGATTCTGCAGATACCCTTTTCTATGTCCTTTTGCCTTTCTCTATTGAACAGCAGAGATATTCCCAGAGGACAATCTTCCATTCAGAGACAAGGACACAAACAGCCCCCTCCAACTCAGTGCCTCTGCCAGAGACAACTGACTGAATGTGGACCCCTGAAAATTTTTTGTACTCAGGCACTAGTTTATTATATAGCACTTAGTCCTAGAAACCCGATTCCTAAGGTAAGAGTCAAAGAGTCTTTATTCCAAGTCTTTTCTAAGCAGCAAGTTAACTGCATTTGTTTGCTTCAGTGCCATATTCTTAAGAATGTTGACACTTCTTTTGAGAGAAAACATTTAAAAATATACTTCCACTTGCCTATTTTCCCATGATAAAGTAACATTTTTATAATTATAAGATTCAAATTTTAAAAGATGGGGCTGGGTGCAGTGGCTCACATCTGTAATCCCAGCACTTTGGGAGGCCTAGGCAGGCAGAACACTTGAGGTCAGGAGTTTGAGACCAGCCTGGCCAACATGCTAAAACCTCATCTCTACTAAAAATACAAAAATTAGCTAGATGTGGTGGCACATGTCTGTAGTCCCAGCTGCTCGGGAGGCTGAGGCACGAGAATCACTTGAGCCCAGGAGGCAGAGATTGCAGTGAGCCAAGATTGTACCACTGCACTCCAGCTTGGGTGACAGAGCGAGACTCTGTCTCCAAAAAAAAAAGTAGCAACAGTTTTTGCATTGTTGGAATTTGGCATTTAATATTGGAATACATTCTTAAATAAATGTGGTCATATTATACATCATTTTAATGGGCATTTCTTTGTGTTTTTTTGCTAATGACATCTTACTTGCTGTTTATGTTTATTTTAGACTATGAAAATGATGTTAGACAAAAAGCAAATTCGAGCAATTTTTTTATTCGAGTTCAAAATGGGTCGTAAAGCAGCAGAGACAACTCGCAACATCAACAACGCATTTGGCCCAGGAACTGCTAACGAACGTACAGTGCAGTGGTGGTTCAAGAAGTTTTGCAAAGGAGATGAGAGCCTTGAAGATGAGGAGCGTAGTGGCCGGCCATCAGAAGTTGACAACGACCAACTGAGAGCAATCATCGAAGCTGATCCTCTTACAACTACAAGAGAAGTTGCCGAAGAACTTAATGTCAACCATTCTACAGTCGTTCGGCATTTGAAGCAAATTGGAAAGGTGAAAAAGCTCGATAAGTGGGTGCCTCATGAGCTGACTGAAAATCAAAAAAATCGTCGTTTTGAAGTGTCATCTTCTCTTATTCTACGCAACCACAACGAACCATTTCTCGATCGGATTGTGACGTGCGATGAAAAGTGGATTTTATATGACAACCGGCGACGATCAGCTCAGTGGTTGGATCAAGAAGCAGCTCCAAAGCACTTCTCAAAGCCAATCTTGCACCCAAAAAAGATCATGGTCACTATTTGGTGGTCTGCTGCTGGTGTGATCCACTACAGCTTTCTGAATCCCGGTGAAACCATTACATCTGAGAAGTATGCTCAGGAAATCGATGAGATGCACCAAAAACTGCAACACCTGCAGCTGGCATTGGTCAACAGAAAGGGCCCAATTCTTCTCCACGACAATGCCCGACCGCATGTTGCACAACCCACACTTCAAAAGTTGAATGAATTGGGCTATGAAGTTTTGCCTCATCCACCGTATTCACCTGACCTCTTGCCAACCAACTACCACATCTTCAAGCATCTTAACAACTTTTTGCAGGGAAAACGCTTCCACAACCAGCAGGATGCAGAAAATGCTTTCCAAGAGTTTGTCAAATCCCGAAGCACGGATTTTTACGCTACAGGGATAAACCAACTTATTTCTCGTTGGCAAAAATGTGTTGATTGTAATGGTTCCTATTTTGATTAATAAAAATGTGTTGAGCCTAGTTATAATGATTTAAAATTCACGGTCCAAAACCGCAATTAGTTTTGCACCAACCCAATATCTTCATAGAATTGAAACATAAATTAAAATTGCATTTGAAGTAGATTCCACAGACTTCATTAAGAATGTAGAAATGTGGCCTGGCATGGTGGCTTACAACTGTAATCCCAGCACTTTGGGAGGCTGAGGTGGGCAGATCACTTGAGTCTGATAGTTCAGGACCAGCCTGGGCAACATAGTGAGACCCCGACTCTAATAAAATAATTTTTTTTTAAAAGAGTAGAAATATGTACCTTGAAAAACATTTTGGCCCAAGAATAATAACAATCACACTTGAAGAACAAAGCTTTTCTTTAAAAAAAATTTTTTTTTAAATTTTCAAATTACTATTCATAAAGTATCAGTGATATTAGATTTTGTTCTTGGCCAAATGAAAAATTTTGCCCTAATTAAAATGTAGTCATGCTCCAGTGCGTTACCACTGAACAAATCACTGAACCTTTCCAAGTGAAAGTTTCCTTAGTTGGGAAGATTGAGTTAACACATGCAAAGGGGTTAGAACAATGCCTGAGTACATAGAAAGTATTCAATAAATGTAAATTATTAGTCTTGAGAACTGTCTGTAGCATGTGACCCAAAGTTATCCCTTCTATTTAGGTGTAATTAGGATATAATGTCCTTCAATGGCAGACTTAAAGGGGGAAAAAGTCACGAAGAGGTGACCAGAAGGGTTAGAGCTGAGCAAGAGAGGTTCGTGCCCTGAGCCCTGCGTTTTAGAGTGCCTAGGGTTACATACATAGGCACACATGCATAAAGAAGACATGGATACCATAACCAGACGAAGACATTATTAGGAAAGAAAAATAATACCAATATCCCTTTTGAATATAGAGTCAAAAAAAAAAAAAAGTACTAGCAAATGAAATTCAGCAAGATGTAAAAAGAATTATACACCGTGATCAAGTGGGATTTATCCCAGGAAAGCAAGGTTGTTTTAACATATGAAAATCAGTAAATCCAGTCTGTTAATGGGATAATTCACAAAAAATAAATATATAATGATTTCCATAGACACAAAGCATTTGACAAACTCCAACAGCCTTTCATGATAAAAGCAGTGAACAGACTAGAAGTAAACAGGAACTTCTTCAACCTGAGAAAGGACATCTATGAAGACCCACAGCTAACATCATACATAATGATGAAAGACTGAAAGCTCTTATCCTAAGATATGGAACAAGAAAATGATCTCCAAGCTCACCACTTCTATTCAGCATTGTACTGGAGTTTCTAGCAAGGACAATTAAGCAGGTAAGAACTTAAAACTCAGGGCCAGCTGCAGTGGCTCATGCCTGTAATCCCAGCACTTTGGGAGACCAAAGCAGACAGATCACCTGAGGTCAGGAGTTCAAGACCAGCCTGGCCAATATGGCAAAACCCTATCTATACTAAAACTATAAAAACAAGCTGGACTTAGTGGCACACACCTGTAATCCCAACTACTCCTGAGGTTGAGGCAGGAGAATCGTTTGAACCTGGGAGGTGGAGGTTACAATGAGCTGAGATCACACCACTGCACTCCAGTCCAGGTGACAGAGTGAGACTGCCTCTCAAAAAAAAAAAAAAAAAAACTTAAAAAAAATAAGACAAATGACCCAATTTAAACATGGGCAAAAGATCTGAATAGACATCAAAAATAAACATGAATGTGAAAATGTGTTCAACATCATTTGTCATCAGGGAATTGCAACTTAAAACTATAAGTTATCCCTTAGCACCCACTAGGATGGTAGAAAGCGAAAACACTAAAAATGCCAAAAGATGGCAAGGATGTGGAGAAACAGGAACTCTTCATTGCTTATTGAAATGTGACATGGTTCAACCTCTTTAGAAGACGGTTTGGTGGGTTCTTAAAGAGCTAGACATAGCATTGATCCAGCAATCATGCTCCTGTTAACCAAAATGACGGGTTCAGTCCTGCTGCTCACCACACAGAATGTCAATCACTGAGACAATGAATGTTGCCAGGGAAGAAGTATTTAATTGGGTGCTGCAGCCAAGGAGAATGGGAGATAAAGTCTCAAATCCCTGACCAACTACAATTGGGGAGGCTTATATAGTGAGGGAAGAAATTGAGGAGGGTAAAAAAAGCAATTATGATGAATGAGGGCGTCTGGCATCTTGTTTCGATGTGATCTGGTGAGTTTTAAGTCCCTTGCCTGAGGATCTGTTTGCTGAGGAAGGAACTCAGATGAGACAAATGTAAATTTCAAGTTTTAAGACCTGAAGGGTCAATTTCCATGTTTATGTCAAAACTTTTAAATATTTCTATGGGACAGTTGGAATGGTTTCACTCCTAGGTATTTACTGATTTGAAAACTTTTCCTCATAAAAACAGCACACACATGTTCATAACAGGGTTATAATTGGTTAAAACTTGAAGCAACACACATTTCTTCAGTAAGTGAATGGATAAACAAACTGGTACATCCATATGATGGAATACTATTCAACAATAAAGAAATGAGCTATCAAGCCACAAAAAAGTCCTGTATGAACCTTAAATGCATACTGCTAGAGAAGTGATTCTGAACAGGCTGTATACTATGAGTCCAACTATATGACACTCTGGAAAAGACAAAACAATAGAGAATAAAAATGTCAGTGGTTGCCAGAGTTTGAGGGGAGGGAGGAATGAATAGGTGAAGCACAGGAGATTTTTAAGGCAATGAAACAATTCTGTGTGATACTGTGATGGTGTATACATGACATTGTGTATTTGTGAAAACATAGAACTTTACTGCACAAAGGGTCAAAATTCTATGTAAACAATTTTAATCATTTAAGAAGTCAGGGAATCATAGGAATGCAGACTGTGACAAGAGAACATAACTATTAGTACAAGTGTAGAAACAAACTCAAGAGAGTAGGGGTGAAAGGTGCTGATCTAAGTAACTTTGGAAATTACTGGAGTTTGTAAGACTAAAGGCAAAAGGAACTGCATGTAAGCAGTTCCTAGCTGATACAAGTTGTTTCCCATGGGGTAGGGAAGTTTAAACATTCCCTCTGGAGGTTTGATAATTAAGTCTGCTGAAATGAACTGACAATAAACAGATTAAGAAGAGAAACACCATTTTAATTATGTACATGCACGTGGAAGCCTCAGAAAAATATGAGACTCAGAGCGGGGCAGATGGTTGAAGGCTTTATAGCATAAAATGAATAGGGGCTTGAAGGGGAGGTGATGACAAGTTATGGGAGGAAAAGGGGAGGAACTGCATGGTGAACAAAGATTGTCTTATGTAAATAAAGTCTCTCAGGTCATAAAAGTTGTTTAGGAGTTTTTTTATTGCTGCTGAAGAATAGGCAATAGCCTGTTTTGGTGTGGTGACAACTTTTAATCTCCTCTGGTGATAAATCTTTCCTGGTTGTTTGTTGAAATTCCTAGGGAGGAGGCTCCAAACAAATGTATTCCTTTTGGAAGAACTTTCCTCAGTCAGAGAAGGGAACTTCAGGAGAGCCTCTCCCTGCACTTATGGGAGTAGGATGAGAAACAAGAGAAAGCCAGACAGGCCTCGATTCTTGGGCAGCTTCGAAGGCTTTTCAATTTCCTTTAATTCTAAGTGCTTGTTAGAGGAATGTTAAAGGACTATACATTGGGGTATCATTTTCTGAGCCTTAACAGGGTACAATTCTGATATTAACAACTCTGCTATTGCCTTACGTGTATACTGGAATTAAACAAATTGATAGCAGATCGTGGGAGCCAGGTTTCTCACTGTTGGATTGGGAATTTACATTTAAGCAAAGGAAGGATGATTCATGTGGTAATAGATCAATTTGAGACATCAGCATGAACTCACATTTAGCTTAATATAGATACAGAAGGTTACATATAGAAATATTTCTAGATTAGTGTCTGTATTACAGTTAGTATGCACACATATATTTGCTTTCTCTGTCAGCTCAGAGAGTCTAGAAGCAATGATGCTCCAGTAGCAAGGAGCACACTTAGCACCCAGATCTTGATTTCTATACCATTCTCCAACAACAAAAATCAGGGCTCTTTGGAAAAATGGCTAATTCTGCTACTAGAGAAGGAAATCAACAAGCTGAGACTGGAGTATCTTGCAGTGCCAGAAAGTAAGGAAATGTTTAAAAAAAAAAAAAAAGAAACCATTGATGGGGGTGTCAAAGGAGTATAGAAACAAATTGAAAGAGCTCCCAGTGACCAAATCTGGAATAATTTGAGCAAGAAAATAAAGTAGTACTGGATTATAATACAAAATATAAAATATTTGTGAGCCCATACTGATATAAATAAATGATTGAATCAATAAATAAATGGGGTAAAGACAAATCTAACTTTGCATAAGAATTCTAAATAACTTATGTAGCTACTCTGCCCACAAAAAGGGGGACCATAAATTCCTACTCCTTTAGTGTAGGCTATACATAGTGACTTCCTCCCAAAGAGTGTAGAATGGAAAGTTGACGGTGGAGGAAACGGAGGGGAGCAGAGTAACTTTACTCTGGGGAAACCTGACAAATTACCTCAGCTAGGTGATCAAGGTCAATATGAACAGTGATAAATCATGTTGGTAGTATATGCCATTGACAGGATGTGATAAAGATGGTACGTTAACTCTGGTCTTGCTCCCCAAACCCATAACCCAAGACTAATCATGAGGAAAAGAATCAGATAAATTTAAATACAGGGTCATCTATGAAATACTTGAACATTCCTCAAGACTGTCAAGGTCAGGAAAAACAAGAAAAGTCTAAGAAATTGTCACAACCAAGGGGAGTCAAAGAAGACATGATAAGTAAATGTAATGTGGTGTCCTGGGTGAGATTCTAGAATCAAAACAGGTAAAGTTAAAAATCTGAATCAACTATGGTCTTTAGTTAATGATGTATCAATATTGGTTCTTAATTGTAACAAATGTAGCATCATGTAATGATATGTATATCATATATATGTATCAATACATAATATAT